AAATGATTTTCAAAATTTGCATTCTTCTTTTGTAAGAAGTGTTTGCGGACGTCCTTTATGCAGTGCGTTAATTTTAAGTTTAGGCATTATCCATTAAATGCACCATTTTTTGGTGCGTATGTTCGGTGTATATATCGACTCTTTCGTATTAACACTTGAAAAATTTGTTTTCTGTTAATTATTTCGAATATTCTCAGAGTTAATAGAAATATTTCAAACAATATTGACAATTGTCAAAAAAGCCCAACACTCTTCTATAGGCCTCGCCTGAGGAACATTTGGAAGGTTGCCGCGCTTGGGAACAAAATTTGTATTTTGAGCAGTTAACCAATCTCTCGTTCTCCTGGCGTAATGGGGATGAGTATTTCTAAATTGAACAAGCTTTGTAAGACACCTGTCAACGTAATTGTCAGCACCTGTCAACGTAATTGTCAGCTTCACCGCGAACTCGCTCAAACAAATGGCTGTGAAACACCTAGCATACTAAAATTTTATCGGCAAATTGCACTTTTTCCTTAAACCTAACTTCGTCCGGTGCATCTTGTACATCTAGAAATTTTTTCTAACTGGGCAGGTGTGTACTTAGGAGCTTTTTTCTCTCATATCGTTTTAAATTATTTCTAGAAATTGTTCTACTTACAATCATTCGTGACACATTATATCTTCAGCCAACATTTCGCAAAGAGTTTCCTAATTGGTTCTCCATACTCTGAATTTTTCTCTGTTCCCGAGCAGGAGTTAAAACTCTTGGTCTTCCACTTTTGGGCAAATTAAGGCATGGTATACCATTTTCGCACTCTTTAAAGGTCTGGTAAATCGTTGACACAGAAATATTTTGAGCACTAAATATTCTTACAATATCGTCTTTTGGTACATTTCCAACTAAACGATAAGTACTTTGACGAATATTAAGTTTGTACGACATCTTAACGAACCTTATTTGTCACAACTGACATTGTTTATATCGTTTACGTTTTTTACTAACTTTGGTTTCCAATGGCAACTTGATCCAATGCTTTCTACCAATAATACTTTTAAATCTAAAATTTTTCGAAAACTTTAGGGATATACTTTAAATCATGAATTTGTTGCTTGTGTGAGTCCATTTCAAATAGGTAAAGAAATAATAAATCAGACTTACTCACAATCAATTTAATTTAACTATCCGACGACCGGTTTCGCTTTCTACAATATGCAAAGCATCTTCAGGTCTCGGTACAAAGTTAAACAAATGCTGAAATGATAAAAACCCATATTAGGGTGTTGTCTAATAAAGATAAACAAATTAGATGTTATAAATTACAATAATTATGCCAATATTACCTGTCTGTGGTTTTATTTAAATGATTGAGTTGAATAAAAGGTATAAATATTTTTTAAAAAAGTTAAAAGGACAAGGTAAGGCCCACAAATTGTCATAAAATCTCTTCTATTGGAATAAATTAATGAATGAGCAAATAAATAAATGAAATAAAATAAAATTACTTACATGCCGGTACTCTATTAATAGATGGATGGTAGAACATGTTTGAAACTACTGTATATTGTTGAATGGAGAACTCAATACTATTATTGCAGTTGTTTGACAGTAAACGGGAAGTTCTTGAGGAGGTAGATTTGATCCAATGAATTTGAGATGTGTGTGAGATTGTTTGTTAAATGTAAGTGGTGTAATATATTATTGTGTTATTAAAAGTTATTTATACTTATTCCAGAGATATATTTTTGAAATGTGTGTTATTTATTGAGTAATTGTTTTATGAAGGTGACATTTATGACAATGAATAAGTGTAGATGTAAAATTGTGTGGGTGTGCACACTTGCAAACTGTAAGTTGTGATGCAAACTTGTAGTTATCAAATTACTTTGATAAAGTTCTATTGGCAATGAGTTAATTATTGGAATGGTCAAGTGAATAAAATGAATAAAATGGTAAAATACAAACACTTAAGGATAATTTAAACACACTAAAAACAGAAAACACTTAGAAGGGACGAAACAAACATTGAATTTTAAAAGGGGAAGGACTTTAAAGCACTACATCATAGTCTTGGGCACAATGAGTTTTTTATTGTTGTATCTATTAGATTTTAGTGGTAAATTTTGACAGATGTAGGTTAGCATGTGACAGTTCTTCTTCTGTTTCTCAATACTGTATGTTAAGTTATCTAGTTTCATAAAATATGCTGTTATTAATAATGAATGTCTATAAGCCTGTTTCAATTTAGATATATCAAAAGTAAATTGATGTGTTTAATATTGGCATACTTTAACAATCTTTAATTAATCAAATTTAGTGTAAAAATATGGTTAATTGAAATACGTCCTACAAAATAACTAACTAAGTCTAATGTTTAACTTAATGATCCATTTAAAATAAATTCTCTGGCAACTGAACATGTACATTTAATAATCAAATGTATAATAAGTTTGCAAGGTTTTTATTTTTAATTTGAAATTGATATAGGTATGAGTTATCTGTCCGACAGATAAATCAAATATCAAATTAAAAAGATAAGATTAAAGATCAAATTAAAAATAAAAACCTTGCAAACTTATTATACATTTGATTATTAAATGTACATGTTCAGTTGCCAGAGAATTTATTTTAAATGGATCATTAAGTTAAACATTAGACTTAGTTAGTTATTTTGTAGGATGTATTTCAATTAACCATATTTTTACACTAAATTTGATTAATTAAAGATTGTTAAAGTATGCCAATATTAAACACATCCCTTCTAAGTGTTTTCTGTTTTTAGTGTGTTTAAATTATCCTTAAGTGTTTGTATTTTACCATTTTATTCATTTTATTCACTTGACCATTCCAATAATTAACTCATTGCCAATAGAACTTTATCAAAGTAATTTGATAACTACAAGTTTGGAAATAATTGCACACCCACACAATTTTACATCTACACTTATTCATTGTCATAAATGTCACCTTCATAAAACAATTACTCAATAAATAACACACATTTCAAAAATATATCTCTGGAATAAGTAGTATAAATAACTTTTAATAACACAATAATATATTACACCACTTACATTTAACAAACAATCTCACACACATCTCAAATTCATTGGATCAAATCTACCTCCTCAAGAACTTCCCGTTTACTGTCAAACAACTGCAATAATAGTATTGAGTTCTCCATTCAACAATATACAGTAGTTTCAAATATGTTCTACCATCCATCTATTAATAGAGTACCGGCATGTAAGTAATTTTATTTTATTTCATTTATTTATTTGCTCATTCATTAATTTATTCCAATAGAAGAGATTTTATGACAATTTGTGGGCCTTACCTTGTCCTTTTAACTTTTTTAAAAAATATTTATACCTTTTATTCAACTCAATCATTTAAATAAAACCACAGACAGGTAATATTGGCATAATTATTGTAATTTATAACATCTAATTTGTTTATCTTTATTAGACAACACCCTAATATGGGTTTTTATCATTTCAGCATTTGTTTAACTTTGTACCGAGACCTGAAGATGCTTTGCATATTGTAGAAAGCGAAACCGGTCGTCGGATAGTTAAATTAAATTGATTGTGAGTAAGTCTGATTTATTATTTCTTTACCTATTTGGATATACTTTACTTTAGGGACATAAAAATTTAAGTGACGCTTCTAATGTAAGCGTCTTTCATCGCCAGTCGCGTGGCTACAAAAACACTGCGTTCTCTAAATGAATTGTCTTATATGTGCCCTTTTATGCATCGACGTCGGTGAGCCGTTCGATGCCTGTGTCGCGGCATTCTCAAATTCTGTCGCCCGGAGACCCTAACGCGTCGCGGTAGGCGTTTTATAACTACTTTGAATTGTTGTTTTTGGGCAACCCGTTTATTGTCGCTGATGCTTCTGTATGAATTTATTTTGCTAGCCTGCAATACTTCGATGGTGAATTATTTATCGACGAAATTGAGAAACTACCACCTTTCTGCAGTTCATCATCGAATGATTACAAAAACCATTGTATTAATTCGACATGTAGTGTATATGCGCCTATACTAGGAAACTAAGTTGCTGTACCTGGCTGTATACCATATATCACAAAAAAATTATTTCAAATCCTTTATAAAAGGTATATAATAAAATGCCCAAACGGGCTATCACAATTATATTACAAAACGTTTTCGGATTGTTAAATCCATCATCAGTGTAAACGAGGTATACATGCTATGAGCCACCAAAATATATGGGTCAAAACCCTTTAAATGATATAAATTTACAGTTGTTTTACACTATATGTGGTTACAAATTATGATGTAACGGTAACTTAAACATCATAATTTGTAACCACATATATGTAAAACAACTGTAAATTTATATCATTTAAAGGGTTTTGACCAATATATTTTGGTGGCTCATAGCATGTATACCTCGTTTACACTGATGATGGATTTAACAATCCGAAAACGTTTTGTAATATATTTGTGATAGCCCGTTTGGGCATTTTATTATATACCTTTTATAAAGGATTTGAAATAAATTAATTGAGTATTTGTTTACCAAGTGTGTTGGAAAACACGGATCCGTGTTGACACGGATTTTATGTGAAAGCGATACGCAGCGGCATAAAAATGGCCAAGTTTATTTATTCTCTATTATATCAATTGGCTCAACATGAACATAGTGTTGAAAGTGAGGATCCTCGTCAGTGTTGCCGCTTTTATCTCTTACAGACAAACTACCTTATGCCTAATTTAAAAATTAACGCACCGTATTTGCTATAGTTGTATTAACCTTATTCTTCTTGGTGTATTAATTCTTTGAGCATTCTGGGTTTACATAAATGTTACGTTTTGTATATGATTTTATATGTTTTTAATTGACAAAAGTAGATAGTTAGCACTTCGTTTTGTTTTATTCTTTTAAATATATTAGTTGCATGATAATTTTCAATAGACAGTAGTGTTGTTTCTATTTTGTTGATGCAATAAAACATGTCATTTTAACGAACTGATCTCTACATTTTTAGGGGCTATAGACGAGGATATTTTGCTCCGTATTGACTGGTTTGTAAGAAAGCACTGTTTTTCTTGTTTTTCCAATCACACCCTCATTGTTTTTCTAAGTTAATATTATGAAAAAAAAAAGAAAAAAATATTGAAAAAAAAAGAACGAAAAAAAAATACAAAAAAGAAAAAAAAGAGGAAGAAAAAAAGTGAAAAAAAACATTTTTGTGATTTGAATTTAGTGTTGAAACTATATTGCTAAAAAATGTAGATTTTTGTTTATAATTTTGGTATTGATTTGCAGAGGGTGTAGTTATTTTGTATTACTTTTTTAAAATAACTTTAAGATTTTCAGGTACCTTTGGAAATTTCAATGGATAAATAATTTGAAAAAAATACATAAAATAGTATGTTGTAAGATTATCAATAAATTTTGAAAGACGAAATATTTTTATTTAGGTGTTATGGAAGAGAAGGGCTATCCAGACGAATACAAAACTGGGACGTCCTCAACGATCAATTCCTACCACCGATACATTACATATAACAGTAAGGTAAAGGGGCAGATTATAAGACGGCCGATAGGATCTACTGGGAAAACATTTGATAAGCACGTGTACCTATCGGAGGTCAGAAAAATAAACGAAGAGGAAATATCTGACTTTGACCAACTCAGAAAGTCACTAGAGAACGCTGTTGAGTTGGCCACCGTAAAGAAAGGCAACAAAGAGAGCACCCCCTACTGGTGGACGGATGAGATTGAAGGCTTACGGGAGGAGTATCTCCCAGCTCGCAAGAATTTTACGAGAAGTCAGGGCGCCTATGAGCTAAAGAAGTATACAAATCAATAAAAAGAAACTCAATAAAACAATAAAAAAAGAAAGAAAAAAATAAAGGTGGCACAACCTAATAAATGCTTTATATGACGACATATGGGGCGTCGCATATAAAATTACAATGAAGTCACTAAAGACGATTGCTCCATACAAGTCAGACGACGACCAGCGGCAAGAAACGGCGTAACTCCTCTTTCCCACCAAGGAGGAACAAACCTTTTTGAAGGTCTTCCCTGCGGTGGCGGAGGAAATCACAGAAGAAGAAATAATGACCGCTGGTCAAGAAATCAAGACGGGGAAAGCTCCCGGTCCCGATGGACTGACACTTGAGGCACTGAAGATAGCAACAACAGAGAAACCAGGTGATCAGAAAATATATAACGATCTACTGCGGAAGCAAGAGTTTGCCAGGGAACTAAAGGAAGCAAATCTGATTTTGCTCCTAAATCCTGGGAAACCCCCGATTCAGCATCCTCTTATAGGCCAATATTCCTTCTGGACTGTCTTGGCAAATTCTATGAGAATGCTGTTGGCAGATAAGAGAGCTCTATCCATCAACAATATGGATTCAGAAAAGGTCGATCAGCAGTCGACGCCGCGATCTGGATAAGAAACGCGGTGAAAACAGGCAAAAAGAAATGGGTGGTGCTTGTTTTATTGGACATTAAAAACGCCTTCAATTAAGCGAACTGGGGTCTCATTGTAGATAAGAATGTCGAACTTGGGATCCCGGAATATATGTACAATATAATAAAGGACTACCTATCGCAAAGTAGCTTATCCATATCGAAGAAAAATAAGATGAAAATGACTGCTGGAGTACCCCAAGGGTCAGTCCTGGGACCCACACTCTGGAATATTTTTTACAAAGGGGTACTAGAAGTGAACAAAACACAAGGAGTAAGGGCTATTGCATACGCAGACGACCTAACCCTACTTATAGAATATATTAATTGGGGTGTATTATAAACAAAGTAAACGAAGCAATAGAAAAAACTGCTAGATGGATAGAGAGAAATTACCTAAAACTTGCAGTAGAAAAGACATAAGTAATCATCTTGAGGGGACCATGGGATAGAAAAACCGTAAATTTTTGGTTCAGAGGCTCCGACCTAAGACCCCAGAAGACCGTAAAATACTTGGGAATCGTACTAAATGACAAAATGGCATTCAGACACCACATACAAGAAGCAAGGCGGAAGAGAGGATCTCGACCCGTAATAAGATAATGCCGAATATAGGAGGTCCCGGGTCACACAAAAGATCAGTTATCCTACAGTCAATCATGTTCATCTTACTATATGGGGCCCCAGTGTGGCATGAGATAATCAACAAAGCGAAATATAAAGACATGCTTCTTAGGGCGTAGAGGAAACCATTGATCAGGGTATGCAGCGCGTACAGGATCAACCTTGTAAGGCAAGTAGTGGCCGGTGCATGTCCTGGCTAATGAAAGGGTTCGGGCAAAGGGGCAACGGAGCTTTAGGTTCAGGAACACAAGAAAGAAAAGGAGTTTGGAGATCTGGCTGGACCAATGGTCAAGGGAAACAGACAAGGCTGCCTGGATGAGGGCCCTTATCTCAGATAAGGCCCTTTGTTAGCCCAACAGTTGTTTTTAAGGGTTATCTTAAAGCCCCGACAAGAAAATCTGGGGAGGGCAACAAAAAACGCAAAGGAAATACGATGAAACGACGATGGAAAAAATGGAACTGATTGAATTTAAAGAAAAACAGCAAAACAAAAGAAAGTAACTTGGTGCGTATTAGATAGTGATTCTGATGAAGAGGTTGAAAATGGGATGGAATTACAATATTGGGAATTATGTGCTTGTTGAATTTAACTCCAAGTAAAAGACATACTATGTAGGCAACGTCTTGTCTCAAATAAAAGAAAATGATTTTGAAATATCGTTTTAAAGAAAAAGCGCTAAATGTGAACACAGATTCTTTTTCCAGTTATCCCAGATGTCTCACATGTATTAAAAAAAAGACAGTAAAATGATTTTGCCGCCCCATGTCATGCAAGGGTTAACTAAGCGCTAAAGTTCGCTTTTAAAATTTGAATTAAACTTTGACATTCTTAACGTAAAATAATGTTAATTGTTGCGGCTCAGTGTTCCCACATTGAATGGAACAGTGAGACATTTAGCAGTTTTTAGTTTTAATATTTTTGAGGTGTTAACTTTGATTTTTATCAAAAAACGACATGATTTTTCAGTTCTTTTTTATATACCGAATATAGAGGTAGAATATAAGTTTAAAGCAGCATTTAATAAAAATGTTATTGTCATTGAAAGTTTTGCGTCTCAGTGTTCCTACCACTCCTCTACTGTGTTAAGTTGTAAATCTACCTTAATATTTGTAAACCTACCTTAACATTAGTGACATGTCAAATAGAAGAAGCCCGGGAGTGAAAGAGAAGGACAGACATTGACATTCGACAGACTGGTCTTATGACTCTTCTAGAGATAATTATGTATTAGTATTAGTTTGTCTTGTAATAAATAAAATATACAGAAACGACTCGTCTATTATAAATAGCCCACAGAGCAGAACAAACACATTGTTTTTTCAGTATATTATTTCGAGATCTTTTCTCGCTTTGCGCAATTCCACAGGACCATACACACCCAGATTAGGGGCGTGTCAAGGTATATTAATTTGACTAAGTAAGTCGTGTAAGAATCAAACTTTTGATTTTACTCTCCTATTCTTTTAAATCCCACTTGTTAAGAGTTCTGTCTAAAATCTACTGATTAATTTTTCTTGCCCCTTAACTATATAAAGGTCTGCTTCAGCGACAATATATCTAAAGTTTTAAAAATAAACCAGTGTAGTCATTTCAGGAAAGGGGATTTATAAATGTACACACAAAATATTCTAAGAATGTCATATTTATTTATATACACAGAAAATATCATAAAACGGGAATTTTGCTTCAGAAGGATGAGTTAGGTCGGCCAAAAAGCAGGTAGTTCCAGCTAAACCTTCAAACAAACTACAACGAAAATCCGGAGTTCTAGACCCATTTTGGAACTCACTTGACCACATAAATTTATAAAACTCTATAGCTCTATGTAAATATTTTTGTTCTTGCGTCAATCTGTATAGCAAAAGAAAAACATAGCCGTTGCCAGCAATGCCATGACATATTCCTGGGCCTTTTTTTAATAGACCTTTTTCCCATACTAGATTTCCCATAATTATACAAGAATCTAAGTATTTCTGTTCTTTAAAGACAAGATATGCTTTTGCCATAAGGAAAATCATTCCACCAGCCCCATGGCACCAGTGAATAAGGTCCGAAGGATAGCCTATTTCATCAACTGCTGCAGGAAAATTACCTAAAAATAGGGTATACATTTATTAACAGTTGGGAAAAGTTTTAAGAGTAAACAAATGAGAAATTATTCACTTTAATAAACTTTCAAAATGTTAATTTACTTAAGATTCGCAATAAACAACTTATTACATGGTTGACCAAATATAATATCGTTAAGTTGTTTAGAGAGCAAAAAGGTAGATTGTAAAACTGTTTTTTGTGTATTTCGATCAAAATGGTAATCACACGACCGTGAACGGAGGGGAAATCATATTTTTCGATATCGATACAACCATTCTGAAAAACAAGAAAGAATACTTGTGAACGGCGAAGTCATCAATAATTTGCGATATGCGGACGATACAGTACTCCTAGCTTCTAGTCAAGAAGATCTGCAAATACTACTTGATAGTGTCGTTTAGAGTTGTAGGGAGGCAGGTCTGGATCTTAACATACGGAAAACCAAAATACTCGTAATAAGTAAACAACTGCGTATAAAACCGTCTATACTTCATCTAATTAACATACTGATGCACGTCATCGGCGTTATAGCCCGTGACGTCACATGATACCAACACGAAATATTTAGGTGGTAGGTGTGTTCTTTTTTAGAATCACTTTGTCGAGTACACTGACATTACAGCCACTAGACATATTTTATTGTATATGCGTAGAAATAATATTTAAAAATTTCTATTAATGTTAACTTAAAGAAATACACAATAATATGTTTCATTTAATTTGTTTAAATGCATTATAAAGCGTTTTTATGAAGAACATTTGTTAGGAACACACTGTAACTGTAATCGAACAAAGGTGAAATTTTGGTATAAATTGGTAACACTTATTTGACAGTTGCGGTGTTGACACTTTTTGTACTTTATTATTTTGAATTTTAAAGTGAATACCTCTTATTTTATATTTTTATCTATTTAATAAAATCAGTTCTTTTTAGAACAAAATTAGTGTGTTTTATAAATGGCATAAGAATTTAAATAGTCGTTGTAAAGAGATTATGTTATGTGACCTATTTGATTTAAAATGGATTCAGGATTTTTTTATACTTTGGCAACTATGTCAACTTCGATCTCTAACGTAGAGAATGACGTGCAAGAGTATGTAAATTAGATGAAGTATATATATATATATATATATATATAATATATATATATATATATATATATATATATATATATATAGAGTATGTAAATAATAATATAATAAATAACCAAACTTGGGCAAGTTGTTAACATCGTTTACCTTGGACAGCATTTAAATTGTAACGCAGAAAGTCACGGCGAAATCAGATCTAGGATAGAGCAGGCTAGAGCTGCTTTTAGAAGGATGTCCAAGGTGTTATGTAACAGAGACCTAAAATTGGCATTGAGAATCCGCCTACTTCGCTGCTACGTATTCTCGGTCTTACTTTATGGTATCGAGTCCTGGACTGTGAATAAAATCGATCTAAATCGCCTTGAGGCTTTCGAAATATGGTGCTATAGAAGAATTTTAAAAGTTTCCTGGGTGGAGTAGATTCGAAACTCCAAAATACTAGAACGTCTCAGAAACACTACTGAGATCATAAAAAGTATCAAGCAGAGAAAGCTGGAATATTTCGGACATGTAATGAGAGGTCCCAAATATAGGTTGCTACAAAATATCATGCAAGGAAAAATAGCAGGCCAACGCAGTCCAGGACGAAGAAGAACCTCATGGTTGAAGAACTTGCGAGATTGGTATGGTGTTGATACAAGCATGCTATTTAGGGTGGCAGTGAATAAAATTAAGATAGCTATGATGGTAACCAACGTTCTGAAAGGACATGGTACGTGAAGAAGAAGAAGATACATCCTGAATCAATGCGTCTCCAATTCATATTAAAAAAATATATATGAAAAAGAAAAAACGGGTTGTTCGGGGGGTTTTTACTGGATTTACCCAACTTTTTTTACTTTTCTACATCATTAAACAGCATCAAATTTTTTTATGAAAAATAATATGAGACAATTCTTTTTTGGCATCATAACCCTGGATGGGTCTTTGCCTGTCTGGCTATGTCCTTCCATTCAGATCTCTCTTGTGCCCTTCTTCTCCATTGTCTTATGTTCATTGTTTTCAGGTCGTCTTCCACGTCATCCAACCATCTCGTTCTGGGCCTTCCTTTTTTTCGCCTTCCTATGGGCTTCCATTGTAACATTTTCTTTGTTGTTTTTGCATCGTTTTGTCTCTGCACATTTCCCAGCCATGACAGTCTTTGACTTTTTACAAATCTTACAATGTCATAACCTTCATTTAACTCATTAACCTCGTCGTTTCTCCTGCTTCTCCATGTGCCATCTTCCTCTTGTATCGGGCCATACACTTTCCTCAGTATTTTTCTCTCGAATGTCGAGTTGGGCTTCATCTTTTTTCGTCATTACCCAAGTTTCACATCCATAGGTTACTACGGGTCTAATCAGTGTTCTGTAGATAGTCATTTTGGTTCTTTTGACTATGACCGAATATGAGACAATGTATTTCCCATATTCAGAGAAGGTAGAGATTTCTTGCAATATGCGAAAAATCCAGTTTTTAAGTGATTATGCGCGATTTTCCAATTTTTTTGACGTTATGTGCCATTAAATGGCACGTTTCAAAGTATGTTCTTGAAAAATATGAGATAATACATTTTCCAGCCGTAGAGAAATATATGCAACCTCATTTTATGCAAAAAATCCAGTTTTTGATTTTTTTTTGAAATTTTTACTGTATTTTTCCATCTTTTATCACATTTAAACATTATTAAGCCGCACATTATAGTATGTAGATAAAAATATATAAAAACTTATTTGTTGCGATAAACAAAGTTTTTACATATACTCTTCGATCTGGAAATCTTACGGAGTGACAAATACTTAGTACAGGACCACAACGTGAACATACGGCAAAATTTAATTAAATCAATTTTATGTAAATTATTCAGTGTAGCTAGACAGACAGACAGTCTGCTTTAATAAAACTGTGATTTGAACTAAATACCGGAGAAACAGTATACGATAACAACATAAATCACGTTTTTGAGTAACGAATGCCTACGATTAGCTCCCGAAGAGCTGTAGTATCGAAACGAAGTGGCCGGTTTATCAATAGATTAAATAGTTTCGCTACGATCAGTTTATCAGTAGCGTAACTGCCGTAAATTTACTTACCGTAAACTTACCTTGCTATATTTATTTTTATAAATTGTCTGTAAAGTGTTTGAGTGGTTATTAACAATTTATTTATATCGTTTGTATGTTAACTTTGGTAAGTAGATATTTTCAATCACTTCTTTGTGAATTCTAAAATTTTTTATTTAATACTGGCAGTCAACAAAACGATAGTGTTGCATACGGATTTTCTCTGGGTGTAAAATATTGTAATGTGAAACTACTAATGTGAAATATTGTAATGTGAAAGACATTTAGATAGCTCTGGGATTGGCATTTTTAATTATGAACAATAAGAGGTTATTCATTTGCAAAATTAGGGCATAGGTACATTGGTCGTACGATAAGCAATTTGATCAAACTAAATAGAAATGTATGTTTTGTATTAATTAATAAAATATTGCAATTTTTTTAAAAAATGAGAGGAATTTTAGTTTTTATTTAAAAGATATGGTCTTGGAGTCATCTTGCAGCCTGTGTTGTCCACTTCCGAGTATAGGCCTCCTCTATTCGCTTCCATTTTTTAATATTTTCCACTTCTTTCATTCATTCATACTGTAAACAAGGTTTGGCACGATTTAAATGTTACAAGCAGTAGGCAAGCATTTGTTGATGGATTATCCACAGGCCTTAAGGCACCATCAGGTAAAGGTCGACTTCTAATTATCACACACATTGGTGGTGAGTCTGGTTTTCTTCCTGGTGGACTTTTATGTTTCGAGTCAAAAAAATCTGGTGACTATCATGAGGACATGGACGCTCAGAGATTTGAAACTTGGTTTTTGTCCATATTACCGACAATAGAACCGGGTTCGGTAATAATTTTAGATAATGCTCCCTACCATAGTCGACAGGTAGAAAAGCTCCCAACAAGAAGCTGGCGCAAAGGACAAATCATTGATTGGCTGGATACGAAACTAATCGCTTATGAAAGATCAATGACTAAACCTGGGTTGTTAAATATTACACGACAACATAAACATAAATACCATAAATATGTTGTTGACGAAATGGCTCTTAGTCACGGAGTTCACTCATCGGTCACGTGGAGAAAATAGAAAATAAGATGTGGGATGTAGATATACAGGTAGATGTAATTATGGAACCGATTATAGTCCAACTTGATGACGAGAGCGATGATTCGGATAATTCTGATTTTGAGTAAGAGTGAATTTTGTAATTTAAACCATTTCTTAAGTACATTCCAAGAGGTTTTCACAATTAATTTGCCACAATTAATCGTGACAAACAAAGTTTGGCACGATTTAAGTATTAAAAACACTCGACAAGCGTTCCTTGAAGGTCTCTCTACGGGTTTAAAAGCACCATCAAGCAAGGGCCGACATCTAATAATAACACATATTGGTAGTGAACATGGTTTTTTCCTGAAGGACTCTCAGTTTTTGAATCCAAAAAATCTGGAGATTATCACGAGGACATGGATACTGAGAAATTTGAAACTTGGTTTTTGTTCATATTGACAAAAATTGAACCTGGCTTAATAATCATTTTAGATAATGCTTCCTATCAAAGTCGTCAAATAGAAAAGCTTCCAACAACAAGTTGGCGAAAAGGAGAAATAAGTAAATGGCTAGATAGGAAAGAAATTGGGTATTACAAGTCTATGGTTAAGCCGGAGTTAGTAAATATTGCAGGACAGCATAAACAAAAATTTCTAAAATACGTTATGTACGCTCTTCTACGAAGCCATAAATAACGTTACCCAAGAGAACTGGCAAAACTGCATCTTTCACAGGCAGAAAGAAGAAGAAAATATGTGGAATTTAGATATACAGGCAGATGTCATTATGGAACCCATTGTCGTTCAACTTGGTGCAGATAGCGAACACTGAGACATTTCTGATGTTGATTAAAAGTAAGTTATGTAAAATTGATTAATAATTCAGTTTGAAAAGTATTTTCGTAAGTTTTCACCAAGAACGTAAGATGGAATTTGATTGTGTTGTTGATATCTTTGGGAACACACACATGTATTGTTTGATGATGCCGATTAATTTTATTGCGAATTTTATTACGATTCTTTTATTTGAGCCCGAAAATAATATAATAGTAATTCATTTACTTGTATAAAAATGTACTATTTAATATACTAAATTTTAAAATTTTATTAGTCTATTTTAAAAATATTTTTGAGGTACTTACAAAATTAAATATTAATATTAATAAAATTGCTATAAATATTTATCCAAAAACCTCGACGCCTATGATCTTCCTCACGTCCTTCCGCTCGACACCGTAACTGTCTATACTTTAAAAATACGTCACTCCGTAAGATTTCCAGATCGAAGTATAGGTATTTGTGTAATAATAATTAGGGCTGAATATGCGAATGAAATAAGACAGTACATTGACGGTAAGAAAAATTTTGCTGTGCGTTCATTCGCGGGAATTTTTGTCAACCAGTTATCTGCTGTAGCAAGTAAGTTATATGCAATGACGTATAATATATAGACTCGGTGAACACTTTAAAAAGTGTATAAAACATGAATACCTTTGTTATTGTTTATTGTTTTGATACGAAGATGCACGAAGTTCATGATTTCTTACGAAGCATCACGAAGTTGATCTTGTGTTTGAAAACATCATGGACGTATGAAAACATTTTCTCCATTTTGTGTGTTTACATATTTTATGTGACAAGCAAATTTTATTTTAAATTGCTGAGAGTTATTTTCTTACTATTTTAGTAAAATGCCATGCTATTTTATATGCATAATGCATAAATATTTAATTTTAATTAAAAAAATAATTATTGTCATTAAAATATAAATAAGCACGCCGCTGTTCTGGTAAACATACCTTCAACCTTGAGCAGAGATCTTTCGGACACCCGATTATATAGCGAGAATACGGGACTGCTCAGTCTATATATTATACGTCATTGGTTATACGATTTAGAAGATCATCTAGCCATACTTTGCGATGGTACATGGATGTGACACCAAAAAAGTGACAACAATATTTATCAGCACAAATCTTATTCTGACCCAAAAAAAAAACAATCACTATATAAACCATTCACTATTCGCGATATCCAATTCCGACAGGAGGCGCTGAAGATTTCAAAGATGGACGATAACTTCGGGAAAACAAATCATTTTGTCATTTGATCTCAAAGCTATAAAACGTTTAATATAAATCATTTACACGTGTGTATTGCCAAAGTAAAAGTTGGAGTACGTTCTTCAAAGTTTATTTGTTTGTGCTTCCAGTTTATACATAAGGTAATTGACTCCCAAACCTGAATAAAATAAAATTAAATGTTTTTCTAGTGTGTCTGAAACACGGGAAGTAAAATTTACACGATCTTAATTATTTATATGGTTGCAAGATCGGCAGAGATCTTTAGTTGAGGGTGAGGCAGTTTTTGGAGCTGGCCACGTTATATTTTGTAAATTACGCCTTACGTTTTCTACTAATATCTTCATGAGACCGTTGGGGTAATTAAGCTGATGGAACAGCATTTTTCTTCAGTCTTCTCAATTTATTTTCAGGTGTTACTATAACGTAAATTAAGTATAATTATATTGAAATATAAATAATATTTTAATCAACACTTGGAAAGTAATTGTTCTCAGTAAAATGTAAACTGCACACAGTCATGTACTTAGTTATAGGTCTGCCAATTCGCAAAATGCATTGCCAAACTTTTCTCATATTCTCGTCCAGCGGAAACTTATGTATGGATTTTTTTTTGTGAATTATAATAGGATGAACATTGAGGAATACTGCAATAGTTTATTGAAGTCGAAGTCATTGTTAATTACAATATAAACCGGTCGCTAATATGTATACAAAATAAGGACAATTTCAAGGTTTTCCCGAAGTGGATGCTTTTGAAATCTACCACCAGGCGTCGCCCACTTTGCGGTTCCTCGCGAATAACCACTATAGATGGTTATGTGGAAGAGTCATTTAATGATAGATAAAACGATGCTCAAATATTAAAAAAATATTGGAATATCCAACTGCTCTCCAAAGTAATCCATCGGTCAATAAGTCTAATCGGTCTAGTCATCGGCCTAACTAGTAAAACATTTTTTTGAAAAAATTATTATTTATAAAAATTACTTATTGATTTCCAGAGAAGAAATTTCGTCAAAAACTTTGCTTTCCAGAGATGTGGTATCAGCAGAAACTTTGCTTTCTAATGATATAATATCACCAGAAACTTTGTTTCCCAAAGAAACGAGGTCCGTCGAAACTTTGTTTTCTGGTGGCATCTTGAATTGCTTTCGAAGTTCCTTCCTTGGTCAGCACGGATGTCTAAAGGCAGCCTAAATCGGCTGATGTATTCTTTGATTAACACATCTGTAATAGTAGCGGCCTTCTGCTCCGAAATGCGTAGATCTCGACCCACATCTCAGAAGTAACCTTAGAGATTTCCAAAAAGATGCTAGCAAAAGCTTTGCTTTCCAGAGAAGAAATTTCGTCAGAAACTTTGCTTTCCAAAGATATGGTATCAGCAGAAACTTTGCTTTCTAATGATGTAATATCACCAGAAACTTTTTCTAACTGCTTTCTAAGTTTCTTCCTTGGTCACCATGGATCTCTAAAGGCACCCCAAATCGGCTGATGTACTCTTTGATTAACACATCTGCAATAGTAGCGGTCTTGTGGTACGGAATTGAGTAGACTCGACCCACATCTCAGAAGTAACCTAAGAGATTTCCAAAGACATGCTAGAAAAACCTTTGCTTTCCAAAGACGAAGCCTCGTTAGAAAACTTGCTTGCCAGAGATGTGATATCAGCATAAATTTTGCTTTCTAATATCTACCAGAAACATCGTTATCTAAAGAAAAAATGTCCGTCCAAACCTTTGGAGATGTCACCAGAAACTTTGTTTTCTTATTTAAATAAAATTTATATCTAACACATGTGCAATTGTTAATTGTTTTTAATTTATTTAGTCCATTATTTATTAACACTTAATATTTATCTACACTAACACTAAAACCACAATTATTTATTTTATGTAATGTTTCATACTGTTTAAAATATATTACTGATCACTTTCCACTATATCGCAAAAACTTCGCCATACAGTTATTACAGTTACATACAAACAAAATTTATAGCAGTAGCGTTGGATAGTGTATTATGAACTGGTTCTCGTCAAATTAAGACTGACGTACCACAAAGAAAAAATTAATTATTATATTACCATTATAATTATTGCATAGTCTAGCTTTATAATAATCTAGTTTATCTTGTATATATTACCTTCCTCATCTTGCTGACTAAGTAAGAAATCAATACTCTTCTTAATATCTTTAGCTTCATTCGGATGCGAATCCATGTAACCAGGAACTGTCAATAGTACTTGGAGTATAGAGCAAAGTCCATGAGCAGCGCCTAAATATTCCACTTCATAATATGAATACATAAGGGGACAAAGAGAATCGTGAGTTTTAGAGTAGACTCTTCCTGATCTTATAATGCTATTACAAATTTCGTAAACGTCATCCTTTCTCAGAGGAGTGTTTGTTTCTGCAGCAATCCAAAGAGCTCCCAAAACGTAGCCTAAAAATTGAATTATATGTAAAATTAATTGGAAAAACCCCGTAGTTGGCTGTATACCATCGTTTAAAAAAACACAGAAGTTAATACACTTCACACATGTGTATTGTGGTATAAAAAACAAATAGTTAAAACTTTATGAAAAGTGTCGTCAAAATTTAAGTTCTAGCATAACGTTTTCGATCTGAACAGATCATCCTCAGTGCCTTGTGGACTTGTAGCTAACAATAAAGTTATCTGTGAGACCTCCACGTATGGATTTACAGCATTCCAAATGTTACATTTTGATTATGTTGTGATTCTAGGTCGATGACAATGGATAGATTTTTAATTACTTTAGGGACTACATGTCTCCCTGCTCGATTTTTAACACGTGGTACTTGTCAGTTAAAACGACAAGTTGAGTCTGTGTCGTGTCTGGTCTGTGTCGTTTTAACTGACAAGTGCCACGTGTTAAAAATCGAGCAGGGAGACATGTAGTCCCTAAAGTAATTAAAAATATATCCGTTGTCATCGACCTAGAGTCACAACATAATCAAAATGTAACATTTGGAATGCTGTAAATCCATACATGGAGGTCCAACAGATAACTTTAAAATACAAACGTAACTAAATAAAACAGATTACGAACAAGGCAGAAAATTCTCGGAAAAAATTTAAATAATCTTATAAATATTTATCATTAATAGACAATAGATATTCTTGTTTATTAAATAAATTGTATATGAGGTTTTTTACAAGCGAAATAGGTAAAGCAAATGTGAAGACCTGATACAATACGTTAAGTTTTGGATTAGGTATACACTCTATAAATGGCAACACTGCGCGTCGTCGACTTGCCACTACATATCTGCTTCGTTGCTCGTCGCCCGTCGGCAAATTTGTCATATTGTCATTATACCGTGGTTGTTTAAATGTATAACAGCGTAGAATTTTAATTTATTTTTGTAAACATATCTATTTATATGGCCGCGGAAAAAGCTCAAATAATAAAATGGTTTTATAGTGGCAATTCTGCGCAACAGTGTGTAGATTTATTTTCTGTGTTTTTTGAGGGAAGACCAATTCCTTGTGTACAGTCAATTTATAATATTGTTAAAAATTTTGAGAGTTGTTATTGCCTCAAAAATTGCAGAAAATGTCACGCTCAAGAAGTGTTACCAGAAAAAGTTGAGGAAAGAGAATACCGGGATACACAAATTTGTGCAACAATCGAGGTAGATTCAACACGTTCAAGTAGAAGCGTTGCTAGAGAGTTAGATGTTAGCAATGTTACTGTAACGAAAGTATGGAAAAAGCATGGTTACAAGAATTTTAAATATTCGAAAACGCAGCAGCTTTATCCAGACTATTACTTTCGAAGAATGCAGTTTTGTGAAACTCTAATAACGAAGGCTAATAGTGAACCAAATTTTATTAAAAACATTTTATTCACTGATGAATCTTCTGTTTCGTTAGTAGGGAGACACAATCCTTCCATTACGAGGTATTGGGCGCGGGAAAACCAGCACAGAAGTGTTGTTTACCGAACTCAACGTCGTCAAAAAGTTAACGTCTGGACTGGCATTTTAGGAGACCACATAATAGGTCCATTTTTTATTGAGGGCAACTTGAGTAGAGTATACCTCGATTTGTTACAGAATCATGTTCTTTCCACTATTCTCAATCTTCCTGATGTAAATCTGGAGAATGTTTGGTTTCATCAAGACGGCTGTTCAGTTCACAACGCTCGAATTATTAGGGAGTATTTAAACAATACTTTCCCGAATCGAGTTATCAGTGGAACAGGCGATATTAAGTGGCCTGCGCGATCTCCAGATCTTACACCCATGGACTTCTTTTTTTGGGGACATTTAAAAAGCATTATCTACGACCATCCTGAGGCTAGAGCCCAAAATTTGGATGAATTAAAAAATCGAATAAGAGAAGTCTCCAATTCTGTTACAGCAGAAACTCTTTCATCTGTTCGCAGAAGTTTTTATGACAGATTGGGGTACTGTTCAGCCGTAGAAGGTCAACTATTTGAAACATTTCTGTAGGTCATAAAGAATTATTTTTTATTTTATTAGGAATAGTATTTTAATTTTTAATAAGAGTATATTTTTTATTTTATCTTTTTAAAGAAATACGCTTTTATTTTTAATTCAACCACAAAAAAATTTTCACATTAATAAAACTCGATAACAATGCACCGATTAGGTCGGTGCATTTTTATCGAATTTCCTACTATTAAAATCGGCTATACGTAATGAAACATGAGATCGGACGACAGAGAAGTACATCCCAAACGTTGTTGTGAGTTACTAAACTAAAATGATTTCCTGTCGGTGCAGATAGTCTCGGGTCGGAGAATGAACATTTGCAACGTTGCCGATTTTAGCGCTCCGTATAGTGTGCAATACCTAATCAAAAACTTAACGCACTGTATGTCTCTTCCCAGATAATAACTAATGAATAATAACTTAGTAATACACATAGAAATTTTAAACACATGTAGTGGTTAGGTCTCCGTTTATGCTTGTGTACAAGAACCTGTAATTGAAATATTTACAGACTATGAAATAGTAACCGTCAATAATTTAAACAAACAATAAAAAGTTGTTAGAGATATTAACGGTGAAATTCTACATGATACAAACTCGGTTCTTAATAAGTGGACACAATATTTCAGCCATCACCCTCAATTTAGATTATGTTGAAGAAGGCGACAACATAGAAAATTAACTGAACATACATCAGCATCTACAAATTGAAGCACCAACAAGAGAATAAGTGTCAAATGCCAACCAAAAACTTAAAAATAAAAAAGCCTCAGGAATCGACGAAATCTACTCTGAAGTGTATAAGGAAGGTAGTGAGCATCTTTTGGCAGTAATCCATAAACTGATAGTACTTATATAGCAGAACGAATTGATACCAGAGGAGTGGCTAAAGAGAATAATATGCTCACTGCATAAAAAGGGCGATGAACTTGATTGCAAAAACTATAGAGCCATTACTCTTATAGTACCTGCACGTAAAATATTCGGAAACTACTTTTTGACAGACTTAAACTCTTTACAAAGGATATTATTGGGCTTTTCATTGTGTGCGATATTAGCTTGATCTCTCTACTGTAAGAACTATAGAGTTATAAAGTAAATGTCGCACACAATGAAAATTTGGGAGAGAACTTGTACCATCATGCAATACAAATTAATATTCAAAGCCAGGTCGCTCATGTCGGAGAGCGTGGCGGTGGTTCTTTCAACCATATAGAAACTGTGTATTATTTCTCAAATCCAAATAGACAATGCGAAATTAGAATTTATTGTCGGGCACCATCCCCTGGTTTATTCCGAAGGGAGATGAGAAAAAGGCTACCAAAACGAGCACTGAACGCCAGAATGCAGGGAAAGAGACCAGTTGGAAAGCCAAGAAAGCGCTGGGAAGACACAGTAAGCAACGACGCACAAGCACTTTTAGGAGTCCGTGTATGGAGAAGAGCAGCCACAGACAGACAAGGGTGGAGGCAAAAAATAAAGGAGGCCAAGGCTCATTTTGGGCTGTAGTGCCGTAGAAGAAGAAGAAGAGATGAGAAAAAAAAATAAGATTTTAAAGAAAGGTTTACGACAAAACTATACTTTTATTATTTCTTTGTAATGACCAAAAACATTATTAAAAGATTCTACGTTAAAAGTTACGTCATTCCAGAAAGATATTAAAATACCAATTTGTGTTTACAGTATTCAAATATATATATATATATATATATATATATATATATATATATATATATACATATATATATATATATATATATATATATATATATATATATATATATACATATATATATATATATATATATATATATATATATATATATATATATATATATATATATATATATATATAAGCGAGGTTCCTACAGCCTCTACCGCCTCTCGCATTTCGACCGCCATCGTTTTCTGTCCATCCATTCGTCTTCTTTGGTGGCTCTATCTCTCATTATGTGTCGTACATTTTCTTCCCAGACAACTGAAGGGCTTCCCCTTCTTCTTTGTTCTGGTATGTAATTTAAAGCTCTCTTTGGCCATCTATCTTCATTCATTCGCTTCACGTAACCATACCACACTAGTTGCCTCGTTTCAATTCTGTATAAAAAGACGACGGTATTTGTTTAAATCGAGCCGTCTATCACTTATGGTTACATGCACAGCCACCTTTACTCCAAGCCATGAAGTAGAAATTTGGCAACAACGCGTGGTAGTCCGACTGTGGTTTGTTTTGGTTTAACATTTCATATAGGAAGGCTTGTAAAGTTTGTTGAATTTATTGTGTTTTTAACTTTATTCGAATGTTTTATTTGTAAATTGTGTTTAAATCAATTAGAAAATATTAATATAAGTGAAATTTTATTACATTTAGAACTTTTAGAAGATTCTTAACGACAATTTAAAAGGCAAGTATAAATATAACCTACAAAACAAACTGAAAATAATAATACTTTTGCTTCTTGTTACAAAATATGTAAACTAAAAACAACAATAATAATACTTTTGTTTTTTGTTACAGATGCTCTGGCATTGTTGTGTACCTGGTTGCAAAACCAATTATGCCAGTACTTTAAAAACGAAACAGGCAGAAAGTATGTTTTTGTTTCCCAAAGATCCCCAAAAAAGGTATACTGGGTTATGCTCTATTCATAGAGAAGGCTGTACAATTACCAAATCTTCCGTAGTATGTGCCAAACATACTACGGAAGATGATATTCATGAAGATGATATTCAGCGGACTGAACAAGGAGAAGATAAAGATGGAAATGTACTAAAGAAAGAAGGAATCCCGAAGACAGAAGAAACTTTTTGCATAAGAAGAGGGAACAAGAGATAACATAATTATGTCAATTAGACTTAGACAATAATATCCCATTGAAAAACTGGACAAGTAAAATTACAAGCGACTGTGTATATTTCTATGTATTTAACATTAATCAGTTGGGACACAAGTGTGATAATATTTGTGTAATATGTAGTGTAATAGTTAGCAGTAATTTTAGTGTAATCGTCAATGAAGGTAAGAATAGATTAAGTGGTAATGATTTGAAATGGATTTTACAATATAGTAAATTAACAAAATGGTCACAATTAGAGAACTTACTTTCTCATTTAGATCTGCTTTTTAGATAAGTGATAACAAATTTGAGTATTACATTCAAAAATCTTTTGAGAATATAGGCTATTTTAAATCGATATACAACTTATAAATGGTATGTTACATTCAACACATTTTTCATGTACTATACCTATTTTAACTTGGTCTATATAACAACAAACCTATTCATATTTAAAATTGCTACTTTTGTATATCTAAGTATGAAAATTCAACAAAAGTTATAAGTAAATAGTAAAATATTTAATTTTCAATTAGATTAATTTAGAACCATATTTATATTGTGTCTGATATCTTAGGATGAATTTTTTAATCATAATAGTTACACTAAGTTTTTACTTAGCACAAATTTTATTTCTTTTGTATTTTTAATAATCTTTTTAAATGTCGTGTTAATGTATTGTGTTATTTATATGCTTCAGTACTTAATATTTAAAATTTCTAGAGATTCTTGACTGCATTTGATTGTAAGATTAACTGTTTGACACTGTATTTTAAGTGCAATAAATTTTACTTTAGTGATTATTTTATTGATAATATAACCCAAATAATAATAAAACTTTATATATATTTACTAGGTATATATAAGGTTTTATTAATTTAATTTCCCTAAAAATATTTCTGTAATGAATTGAAGTTTTCAAAATATCAGTTTCCTAAAATTCAAATTAGTTTAATATTCTGGTAGACCTTACATCTGATTATCGGACGACCGACGTCATAGAATGCGGTGTTGCCTTTTTTACTTCATGGCTTGGAAGTAAAGGTGGCTGTGTTACATGGCAAATGTATGCCAACTTTGACCTTTAATATCTCGGCAACCAGTAAGCCGAATGTATCTTTTTTTTTAAAAGAAGCGTCTTTTAATGTTCTTTAAGTGTATAAATTTTGAAATTGATATGTTTAAAGCTCGTAAAGTTATTCAATTTGTTAATAAGCCTAAAAAATGTTTAAAACTTCAAAAAAATTTCTAGGCTCTCATAGTGAACCGATTTGAATTTTATAAAAAGTGTTTGAAAGTTTGAGCCTTCCTTTATATGTAAAAAAATGTGCAACTATCTGAGGGCCTTATTTAGTGCCTACTATAAATTTGAAAATTTGCGATTTTTTTTCAGTAGGCTGGATTGCAAAATTTTATGCAAAACTTATCCGACCGATCTTAACAAAATTTAGCACACGTTTTAAACATATTAAAAAGTTTTTCTAGGAGAATATGGAGCTTATAAGTCAAGTTTAGAAAGTCGAAAACATTTAAAGGATTAACTTCATTTTTTTGTACTTTTTTTTTCCAATTATTGCTATTTTTTCAACAATAAACATTAAATTTTCAATTTCTAGCTAACGAAATATTGTGTAAAATTGAATAACGAAACTTTTAACTTTTTATATTCTTTTCTCTACGATCAATATTTTTCTGAATTATAAACGAAAATAGGATCGAGCAAAAAAATGAGAAATTTTCAATTGTTTTCAGATTTTGTTAAAAAATTTAGCACAAGGTTTACGACTGGCGCATATAGTGATTATCGATATTGGGCACATCCTGGAGGGATTCCAGCAAAAAAATAGCTTCCTATGGGAAATGTCCAATCCAAAACAGATCCCGCCTAGACTATATTTCTTGAACAGTTAATTAGATATATCTTTATGACATTCCTATACCTATATGTGCAGCAATACTGACTATCCCTTTGGTATAACGAAAAAAAGAGGTATTGTACACTCCATAGAGAAATATTTAAATAAATCTTACCTGCTCTACCAACAAAGAGTTCATCAGATCCATAATTAAGAAAACGTGGTTTTTTCACAGTATCAGCTGAGTCATAATATAATTGAATATAGTAGTTGCTTTGATCGTGATCTCCTAAACTGTTGAAAACTGTAGCCGCTACAGCATAAATTCCAGCATTTCCTAACATAAAAGACGGAACACTATCTGTTTTATTGCAGTTTGCTACTGTTATTGCTGGTTTTAAATAAGTAACAGCTTGTCTTAAAAACTGAGATTTTTTTGACGAAAGTGTTGGAACCTTGCTTAGATGGTAGAACATATATGCTATCCCAGCAGTACCTAAATAGATTCCATCTCCAGCATTCTCTTCTGTAGGTTTAACACCTGTTAAAAATAATATTAGTAGAATAAATTTTTTTATTTGCGAATTGAATGTTCACAATATAATGTGATACTGGATAAGAAAAAATGGTAGAGTATTTTATAGCATAGTTCATAATACAGTGGTACCGAGAGAACAGAAATTTCGGATAATATGAACATTATTAAAAAATCCAACAACAGTTCAAGTGTGTAATGAATTAAATCTTTTAGCGAAAGCCGCTATCGCTTTATGTATTAAATGGCCAACTATATGGCCTAGGAGACAAATTCGTTAAACTTCCCGTGCTCGAATTGGTATCACTAAAGTGTTATGATCATTTCGGCCTATCCCAGCCATCGTCAGACACTTGGGCTGATACAAATTCAAACTCGGAAAGTAAAACGAATGTCTCCCAAATCTTTACTACCGTGTAGTTAGCTTATAAAGGCGCCCCCTACTTTGAAGGCCGTGAACGAAACGATATGAATAATGGTTTTCTGTACGGTCTATAAATAATTATGCTATGCGAAATGTGTAAAGAATTAAATCTTTTAGCGAAAGCCGCTATCGCTTTATGTATTAAATGGCCAACTATATGGCCTAGGAGACAAGTAGGGGGCGCCTTTATAAGCCAACTACACGGTAGTAAAGATTTGGGAGACATTCGTTTTACTTTCCGAGTTTGAATTTGTATCAGCCCAAGTGTCTGACGATGGCTGGGATAGGCCGAAATGATCATAACACTTTAGTGATACCAATTCGAGCACGGGAAGTTTAACGAATTTGTCTCCTAGGCCATATAGTTGGCCATTTAATACATAAAGCGATAGCGGCTTTCGCTAAAAGATTTAATTCTTTACACATTTCGCATAGCATAAAGGATACAGAAAACGATTATTCATATCGTTTCGTTCACGGCCTTCAAAGTAGGGGGCACCTTTATAAGCTAACTACACGGTAGTAAAGATTTGGGAGACATTCGTTTTACTTTCCGAGTTTGAATTTGTATCAGCCCAAGTGTCTGACGATGGCTGGGATAGGCCGAAATGATCATAACACTTTAGTGATACCAATTCGAGCACGGGAAGTTTAACGAATTTGTCTCCTAGGCCATATAGTTGGCCATTTAATACATAAAGCGATAGCGGCTTTCGCTAAAAGATTTAATTCTTTACACATTTCGCATAGCATAAAGGATACAGAAAACGATTATTCATATCGTTTCGTTCACGGCCTTCAAAGTAGGGGGCACCTTTATAAGCTAACTACACGGTAGTAAAGATTTGGGAGACATTCGTTTTACTTTCCGAGTTTGAATTTGTATCAGCCCAAGTGTCTGACGATGGCTGGGATAGGCCGAAATGATCATAACACTTTAGTGATACCAATTCGAGCACGGGAAGTTTAACGAATTTGTCTCCTAGGCCATATAGTTGGCCATTTAATAACAGTTCAAGTGTCTTGAAAAGAAGAAAACAAAAAAGGGCTCTCTACTGGACTGGAAGCTCCATCCCAAAGAGGTCCTCGGTTTGTTCTTTTTTATGCTGGAAGCGAAACTAGTTTTGTGGCATAGGTAGAATTAACTTTCTTGACCAAGAAGGGGACCGCTGATTACCAAGACGAAATGGACGAGGATCTATATGAAGAATGGTTTGAGAAGACGTTAATTCTAAATTTGCCAATAGACAAAGTAAACGTTGTCGTTTTGTATAATGCGTCATACCACTCCCGTAAATTAGATTGCCCGAACAAAAAGCAAATCAAGGATTGGCTAATCGAAAACAACATTTTCTTTGAGGAAGCTTACCTAAAAAGTGAATTATTGGATACTGCGGCCGCATTTACTGACAAGTACAAAATTGAAACAATTGCGGAAAAATATGACGTTAAGATTTTGAGACTGCCGCCTTACCGTTACGAGCTGAACTCGATTTAGATGGTGTGGATTTTATCTTTGATGCCTCGCGTTTTTAACAGCTGGCAACCCTTATTTTCGACCATTTTCAACTTATATCAACTTAATAAGAAAAAAATTAGCTTTAATTTGATATAAAAACATGCATGTACACCATGAGCAGCGTATTTTATTTAAAAAATAAATGAACGAAATAAAATATTTGTCAAACACTAATTATTATTAATTGAATTAAAACTATTTGCAGTCACTTTTTGACTGGAGACATATTATCAATGTAATCTCCTAATTTTAAATGTATGTTAAAGTATGAGTTTGATAAACAATGTTATAAATGTAGTGATTGTGCAGTACTATATTATGTAGAAACATTGGATAAATCTTGTCCTGACCTGGTGATTTATATGGCTCAAATGAGTTTATTATCCAGGTTCACCATTTCTTTTGCCACACGCAAGTTTTCCCTAGAACCATATGTCATGGTATCCAGTCCAGTCTGCTGCCATGTGTCTAGTGGTATCAGTTTTGTTTTAGACTCAGGGCAGTGCTAGTATACCCTGAAAAGTTCTTTGAGGGTCTCTTCAGTATTCTGAGAGTATTCACCTGACTCATTTTGGAGGGAGGGAATGCTTAACTGAAGGTCCTTTGAGAAAACTTTATGGAGTCTTGACATTTCTGCAGTCTGCTCTAGCTCTTTCTCTTTGCCCTTAAATATGTTTTTTCTTTTAAGCACAGGCAAAATCCATGGCAGTATAGACCTTGTTTTTTGTGTCAATTGCCAAGATTTTGGTTCTAATGGTCAAGTTCCAAGGGTCAAGAGTAGAGATTGCAATCCAGCAGCATTTTCAGTCCAGCTGGAATTTTGCAAGATTGGCCAGAATCCAATTGGATCCAGCGCGGATCCAGAAAAATGTGAAATCAAAATAAAAACACGATTTTAATGTTTTTTTTTGTTTATTTATTACTTTTTAATACAAACTAATAAAATAAAAACTCAAAATAAAAATTACCTTAGATGTATATAATCAAATAAGGACGTATAATCAGTCGCAATTCGCAATCAATCTTACCTCTCTTTAACTTAAAACGGCTAGAGCAAATGCCGCAATTATCATGAGATTAAAAAAAACTCATACTCAATAAGCCGTGGAAGTGAAACATAGGGCTTTGCTTATGTCAGCTGAGAATTGTCACGAATGAAATTTTATCCAAATGAACTTATCTGTTAAGTGTAGTTCATTTAAAGCAAATTTCATTGATGGCAATTTTGAGCTAACACAAGTTGGGTAATATGTTTTTCTTCCATGACTTACTGAGGACGAGTTTTTTGGATATCATGATAAACTCAGTCTGTATTCTAAATTTCTAAACAACAGAAACATGAATTATTTAGCTTTTTTTGTAAGTAAGACCTTAACAAACATATTTTATCTATCGTCTTATCGCCTAACCTACTTCGCACAGATCTGCACATATAGCCGGTTGCGGAGAAAGTCCTTTCGGCCTCTACGCTGGTCAGTTTTAAGGTCATCAAATAGTCATAAACCATGGACAAATGATCACCATTCACTCCTTCAGTCTCATAAACGATCATTTCCTTTTTCCAAATCTTTTCGTAATCTTTTTAAGAAACAGTTTTTTTTTTGTTATAAAAGTTTTCTCTCTCTCGTTTCATTTCAATCTCAAGTTCTTGCTTTAAAGTAAAACTCACGAGCTCCGGATTAGATGGCATATCTTCTACTTCCATTATGTTCTCTTGCACTGTTTCCACAATCACTTAGTTATTTATACAAATTTTTCATATCTTGTCGCATTGCATTCTTTTTCGGCATAGGGAAATAACCAGGATTGTTTAGTCCTTCGTCATACTTTTTTGGATTTTGTAAGTACACTAATGTACCTGAAATTTCAGAGAGAATCAGAATTCAGAATTTTCTCTTCTACAAAGAGCTTCTACAGCCAGTTTCACCGGTTGAAGAGTGGCGATCAACTCATTGATTACTGACCACTCGCCAGCAGAGAATTATATCGCAGAATAAATGTCTATCAACGCTTTATCGATGCAAACTTTTAGGCTGTAGAAACGTTTCAGCATACTGAGTAAACTGTTCCACCTGGTGCGGCAGTCAAGAATCAAATTTACTTCCTAGCCTTTCTCTTCCTTGACATATTTTTGCAAGAACATGTCGTCTTTGGTAGATGATTTTTTGAACGTTGCTGCCAATGCTTCATTCATTCCTGTCTCCATATCTTCATTTTCCTCTTCTTATTCATCAGTGTCGTCTATTGCTGCTTGTTCTACTTCTTTTTGAGGTTTCTTTTTATACATCACGTCTACTACAGCCAAATTAATTCCATGTGCATAGCACAGTTGTTGATAGCAAGGCATGCGCTTGCCAACTTTCACCATAACGGATGCGCCGTCGGTTGTGATACCAATGGTGTCGGATTCGATCATTAAACCAAAAACTTTCAACCGTTCTGCCACTTATTCAATCCAGCGTTCGGCAGTGCACGAGCCGTGAATTCTGATTAAACCTAGATTAAAATGTTTTGTATTGTACAAATTGAGATTTATGTATCTGTGATTTTTTTGGGAGATCCACTTGTTGAAGCTCAACGAAAATATTTGTCCTTTTTGTTTTAAATTGGTGAATTCTTTTATAAGATTTGCTTGGACTTTCTCTGCATACCTGTAAATTATCGCTCTTATATTGTTTGGAAAAGTTGGTAATTGGAATCCACTTTTTGCAAATAACTGTCTCAAGTCAGGTGAGGTTCAAAATGAACTCAAGCTAAAACTATCTTTACAAACTATCCTAGTAACCATATCTTCCATAGCATCGTCTCTTTCAAAGTAGGAAGCAATAGTTTTCTTCAACTTTTTGCTCAAAACTACTTCCTGATTATCTTCATTTTTTGACGAGGTTGCTTTGGGAGCATTGGGAGCTGATATAATGGTGCTGGTGCTAGAACTTAAAGAAGACACGTTGTGTATCTTTTTTAGATATTCTTTTAAGCTTTTTGTTGAGCGGCTAATGAAGACATGAAGTAACTTATTTCGAATTTGACACGTTTGCGGATCTACACTGCTGGATCCAGCATAGTTTACTGGATCCAGCATATCAAAAAACGCTGGATTGCTGGATTCAGCAATTGCAATCTCTAGTCAAGAGAGATCAAGTTCTTTGAGGGTCTCTTCACTGAGGGTCATTCGAGAGAACTTTATGGAGCCTTGACAGTCTGTTCTAGCTACTGGCAATGCCTTCCCCATAATTTTCTCTTTGCTTTTCTTGGTTAAAATGTTCGTTCTTTTAAGCACAGGCAAAATCCGTGGCAGTATAGACTTTATTAGTATTAATTATTAATGAAAATATCAACAAACTCAATCAGATACTTTGATTTTAAAAGTTTGTCAGTCAGAATCACAGTACAAGTCAATGGTGCAGGAACACATTACCCTACTAAAATTCTACTCAATTTGATAGCAGTTTACTTCAAATTCATAATTCTGACATGATCAATGTTTTGAGCTATTACAAGTGCTTTTGCTGTTAAAAGATCTTTACTGTTTATGTTTTTGACCATCCTTAGACCTCCCTCTATACAATGTCTGGTCATGAGAATTTTTTCTCAAAGGTTGGGTATAATTACAAGTACATATTATTTATTATATGTTTAATAAGCAGGTAACACCTTCATTTTCTTCAAGAAAGAGAAACTCCCAACTCGCTTGAGTCTTGAGAACTAGACTATTAACATCTAGTACAGCTCTGAGTTTTTTTAAAGGTTCATTTCCAATATAAACTAGTCAGATATTTCAGCAATTATTATTTTGTACTTGTCGATATTCTGTCCTATACATACTGGCATATTAATTTCACTGTATGGGCATATCCTTAGTGTTTTCCAGTTGACTTGAATAATATCTAATATTTTTTTTCACCCAGTAGTGTGAGCTCTTAAAGTTGTAGTCAAAAACAGTATTTTCTTCTTCTGTCAAAGTTTCTCTTTCTGTCTTATTTGATGATAGTTCTGCTGTTGGAACCACATTAGTTATCATTATATTAATTTGTTTTATTTTCTCTTTTAGACCACCTACATTTTGTTGTTACTTTTATTTTTTCTCCATTTGCTTTAGAAGTTTTTCTAATAATTTTAAAAATAATTTGAAATTTAAAAAAATACATTTTTGGAAAAAAGTTGTAAATTTCTTATTGGTCTTTCGGGAAATTTCTTCTAATACCTTTTAGGTTATTCTGGAAGTGTGTTTGATAGTTTCTAAAGTTTTGTTGAATCTGTTGTTAATCTTTGTAGAAACTTCATTGATTTTACCAGATTCCTTTTATCATTTTAGTAGTTTTGTATGTTTCAATTGCATAATCTGTTGACTGAAATCCAAATGCTAGTAGGTTGCTGGTGAAGAATTCCTTAAATTAACTGTTACTCTGTTTGCATGTAGAGACAGTCCAATTGACAAATAACATTCGAGTGTTTTTGCAACAAGAATAAAGTGCAATTGTGTTTTCAAAGCAGTTGTTAGATATTTGAAATGGCAAAGTCGCTGTTGACACCTCCACCAGATTCATTTTATTACCCAGAGATTTCTGTACTTAAAAAACTCGAAAAATGAGCTTCTTCAACTTTAATACATTTAAAGGCGGCACGAAGTTTGCCAGGTCGGCTAATTTAAAATAAAATAAACATATACTGAAATAAGAAATAAAAAAAAATATTAACAGAATCATTATATTGATTAACAGGATCTATATGAAAAAAAATCATGGATAGTGGACAACTACTTACCACTTTCTATTTGGACAATAGTATCATTTAAATGTTGTGTTATATCTGGTACTGGAATTACAATTTGACTAGATCCTGTATAATCTTCTTTTGAGTTAACAAAATATCTAACTTTTGATCGGGACATTGTTCCAAACAATCTACAAATTCGTTGCGAGAAAGGTATAATGTCATTCATTTATTATTTAATAGGACATTTTTTAACATTTTTCTGGCCCAAACGGCTAATTTTACATAATTTGTTTACTAACAAATGAAGTAAAAATAACAATATTCTTCTTTATTTTTTTGAAAATAAATAACTACAATGTATTGAAACATCCATCCCTTGTATATTCGGAGTTACTTTTTTCATGTTTCTTCATCTATTCTAGCACAATGTAGGTTTAGCCTGTTTGTGGTTATTGCTCTCTGGTCATAGATTAGAGGAGGGACTACTGTGGTGAAAATAATGAAAGTAATTTTGAGAGATATTGAATTAGGCATTTTTAACGAGAATTAAAATCAGTCCGAATGACTGAACGTCTCGAGAAAAAAGGCCATGCAAATATCAAACAAATAGAAGACCCATCATCGATCAGAATTTGTGGTTGTGTGACTTGTGTGTTGTGTTGTGGTTTACTTTTGTTTGTATTAAACTTTACCATTTAAAACTTATTAAATATATCACGGATGAATATTTAATAAATGCTGTTTAACTTAATAAAAATCGAGGTGCCACCTAAACTTATTTGCAATTTGGTAAATATCTCAGAGAAACCATTATTTTATTCATTTTTTACATATATTTTTTGTAGATTTTGTGGTTTCTGGTGATTGCCTCTTGGTATTGTGCTATTAATTTGGATTATTACTTCTGGAGTAATCAGAAGATTTCCACCAAATAATGCCATTTACAGCAGATGCAGCAGCTGCACAACAAGTCCAAGAACGGTTAAAATCAGTGCAACAACTTGTACACGAAATAGAAAAGAAAAGGGCCCAATGTGAATTAGGGATTGCTGCATTACAAAATTACACACAGGACGAAAAAGGAGGACATAGTTCACAAGTATGTTACATTTATCTATGTATATCTAAAATGACTGGCAAGTGCCAAAGTTTGTTTGATATTTGAACTGAAAATTGGAGCTTATAAAATTTAATGAAAATTAGGAAGAAATATGAGAGTTTGTATTGAATTGTTGTATGTGTTAATTATAAATTAAATCTGTATACCACCCTAATTTGACCAAGTGTATGTTTTCATAAAATATCCTTTTTTAAATTTGTTTATTGTTATTAAATTTAAGTCATTAGAACTAGGAATATAATAATTTTTATAAACTTTTTTTTTAGAAACTTAAATCCCTGTATAAAAATGTTATAGCTCAAACAGAACAGGAAGAGGATGTGATTCGTAAAGCTTTACAGAAAATCACTGAGATACGGAATATAAAAAATGAGAGAAGAATTCAGGTTTGTACATTTGTGGGGCAATGATTAGTTTAGAGCACTCAACATATCCAAATATATTTTCCTCAAGGCAACACTTCACAGTATTGACATATATTTTTTTTAAATGTATATGAAGTTTTAAAATCCGTACCTCAGAGGTAAAGGACACTATGTCCATTTTCTTACTTTTTAAGGAGAGCAGTTTTAACATTTTTTAAATTTGTAATCAGTAAATACTCAAATGTTTCTGATATTTAACCAAAATTAATATAATGTTCTTTACCTCTGAGGGATGGAAATATACATTACTTTTACGAAATTATAATGTGTTATGAGAAGCTACAAGTTTTTAAATAAGTATAGAACAGCATTCATAAATATTTTCTGTTACTTTAACTGCAGTTAAATATTGTAAATTATTAGAACCTTTCTAATAATTTACGGATTATTACCTTAATAATAATGCGGAAACCAGCGCTTTCCACATCTTGTCTATTAGAACCTTCTTATTATTATGTGCGAATGGTTAACCCCCTACAATGACACTTGTGAATCATAAATTGTAAATTTCTGAAGTTTTTATTATATATGCATTTAATTATCTTTAATTTAATTCAAATCATTTCTATAATATTATGTGAGAGTATGAAAAAACTGAAGATATGGCAACTCTGACACCATTTAAGCTTACATTAAATGTCAAATACAAATTTGGTTATGATGGGTGCCCTAAACTAATCATTCTCTCGTTTGTGTTAATATTCATGCTACATAATCAAAGCTCATCTGAGATGAGTGCTAAATATAAAATGCTTCAACTATATTAGATGACATATTATAGTCACCCATATATCCCAATAGTGACAAGTCCTACTATTACTTGTTCTTAAGTGAAGTGAGAAATTTAAAAAAATGTGATATTAAGTATTTATTTATCTAAAACATCCAACAAACATAAGTTTCATTTTATAAAAAATTCGTGAAGATTTTGCTTTTTGCTAAATAAGTCCAACCAATATTTTTCAAAATAACTTGCTTTAAAATTATGTTTTCAAAAAATATGCAAAGAAGGTGTTTAGCAAATTAATTTCAAATTTTAAAATTACTGACATAATAATAAAATTAAAAAAAAACATTGCTACCTAGAACCAGAAATAGGAAGACTTATAAATATTTGAAGTTACAAATTAATATTTTGAAAATAGTAAAATCAAAGATCAGACAGCTATCAAAGCACCAACCCTTCATCTTTGATGCTTAACCAAGGGCTCATGTTAAGAGTAATCTTAGTGTTAATTGCATTTCTATTTATCTATTTATACTATGGTTTTTAACTGCACCTGCTCTTCAGGTAGGATTCTATGGGTAACACTGAGACACAAGCGCTCATCTCTTGCTGTAATGCTCATTCATATGAATTTTAAACTAGCATGAAGATCATTCACAGTGAAATGAATGTGATTGGGCTTGCTTGGCTATCTGATTGACTTTTTACATTTCTTAATGTTTATAAATAATGGCCCAATAAAGTTTTGCTCCTAAAAAAGAGCTAACTTTGCTGCTAAGGGTCTTAGCACACTTTTTTCTTTTAAATTTATAAAAAAACATGTTCATTTCGAATTATAAAAAATTAATTTTCTATGTGTTATTGAGTCAAAGTTATCATTAAATGTTTATAAACTGCAAAAATGGAAAACCTGAAAAATTACTTAAACAATATATCACATAAACTCTTTTGTCACTAAGTGATTGAATTTGTAAATATGAGTCACTAAAACTCAACTGTTGAGCAAAAATTATTTCTCAACAAATTGACAAAAATTACTCTTTTTCAAATTGAAGGTTTTATGGAACTTAAAATTCTGATTATTCAAAGTGTTCTGCAATATTAATATGTGCTAGTGTTTGTGTGTCTGAGAGTCTTCATGTATTGTGTATGTGTGTTGTGTGTTGCATATATATTGTGTATGATTGAATACATTGCTTCAGAGTTTCTCAATTCGCTATTGTTGGTATATTCTGGTTGTTGACTTCTTCTTTTAAGTATTGGCAACCTAAGCCTGCTACATTCTGCTGGTGGGTTTGCTACACATTTTTCTTCATTGAGTAGAATGAGGAGTGCTTCTTTGAATTTTTCTGTTTCATCTCTGTTTCTTTCATGATTATTAATGTATCTGTTGGAGAACTATATCTCCAAACCAATAATTCTATTTTGTATCAAATAATTCTATTTTCGCGTCGGTTACCTAAATAAATCCAGTCTACCTAGACCTTGTTTCTGAGAATGTTAATCCCCGCCCACAGCGCCTACTTGACGACAGACCGGCTTTTTAAAATGCATAAACAAAAAAATATTCCAGCGGGGCTAGTGATTTAGCGACGTTCGTAGGGCTAACATCTATATTTCAAAAGTTCGGAGAGGATTCTCCACGTTGCAGTTTACGCAATTGACCGGGAAGCCGTAATATGTGAATAAGTGTTATGGTGTTTTCGCTTTCGTTCGCAAATTGTAATATTCAAATTAAGTTCCTACGATAAGTTACACACTCAAATTTTATAAGCTCTATTTCTTGCCCTTTCTTTTTTCAATTACAGTTTCTTTCTAAACAAGTAATTGTTTTATTTCACTATATCAATTCAACAGACCAGATAAAAGCAACTTTGAAAGTCCATTTTAGTTTCTCTACTGAGCTGTCGAAGGCTAGCGGACTAATTGGACTTACAGCAAGAACAAAGCCGCTGAAAGAGACACTGTTGCATACAAGCCTCTCCATGGAAGGGATATTGTAAACCGGCATCCTCCATTTTGGTCCTTCGAGCCGGATTTTAATCACTTCAAACCGTATTCTGATCCTACTACTTTCTGGCCTAAAAACACTCAATACAAGTTTCTTCTTCATTCTACACATTCAAAAAGACATTAAAAGTTTCGCGTATTTCGGATATTCTCGTCGATAGACAATAATTTCTAGAGACATAGTGAGTGCGTTATTTATTCTACGAACAAATAAACATTCAATGAACAAAACAGTGTTAGTTTAAAAAACCAGGACAATTTCAAGAAATGCAGTTCCAGGACTAGCTGATTCCAGACTCCAGAGAGGAAGAAGCAGCCCACATTCAAGTACCAAGAACCCAGGGGTGACGTACAAACACAAACTTTTCTATATAAATTCAAATATAAATTCAAAGTTATTTCAGAAAAGAACTATTCAGTTAAATTTTTGTTTAGCTTATCGCATGTTTGTTATATTATAAATTCAAAATTAATCATTCAGAATTAATTAATTCAAAAAGAAATTATTTCATTCAAAAATAAACAAATTAAAGTTATTACAATGAGCAATAAAGGTTTAAATAAATTAACAAAAAAGAAGCATTCTATTCTAGATTCAGTTGCTAGAATTCAAGCGTGGCTAGAAATAAACCACGACTCAGAAAAAGATATTTTCTTATTCAAAACACGAGAAGAAAGGTTAAAAGACCTTTTTTCTGACTTCAATAGCGTACAGGATGAAATTGAATTCCTGGACGATTCTCAAGCATGTGGCCGTGCCTTATTTGAAGACAATTATTTCGCGAGTCTTTCAAAACTTCAAAACACAATTAAATCATTGGAAATTACTAATACAGGGAGCGCCAATAAACAAATGGCCGTAAAACTCCCAGAAATCAGTATAAACAAATTTTCTGGACACGTAAGTGATTTTGAAAGCTTCTACGAACTATTCGACACACTGATAATAAAAAATCAGTCCCTTTCTGACATCCAAAGATTTCTTTACTTGAAAAGTTATCTACAGGGTGATTCTCTAAAGTTGGTGGATTCTCTGAAAGTCACAAATGAAAATTTTTCAATTGCTTTAGATATTCTAAAAAACTGCTATCAAAATAAGGTCACGGTCATAAATTCTTATTTAACAGAAATTCTAGACATTCCTACACTGAGAAACAGCTCACCGCAGATTCTCAGAAATTTTCTAACTACTGTAACAAAAAATATGCAACTGTTGAAAAATTTGCAATTTTCAAGTTCAGAGCTCATTGATATAATTTTAGTTTTTCTGCTAGAAAGCAAATTAGACTTTTCAACAAGGAGACTTTTTGAAACTGAGCGAAATCATACAGATGTACCAAATTTAGATGCTTTTCTTAAATTTCTAGAAAAAAGGTGCATTGTTCTGGAAAGCCTGGAAAATACAAATCCTAGGCAAACCAAAAACGTAAAAGTTTCACATCATGCATACAGTAATAACACATCAGAGGATTCAAATAAAAATAATAGTTCAAATAATTTAGTTTCTGACTTTTATTGTATTTACTGCAAAAAACAAGGACATAAAATTTATAAATGTCAATTTTTCAAAAACATTCAGCATGATGACAAGATAAAATTCGTAAATTCAAAAGGTCTCTGCGTAAACTGCCTAGGTAGGCATTATTCTAAAATCTGCTCCTCAAAACATGGATGCACCATATGTAAAAAGCGCCATAACACTGTTCTCCACATTTCGGGTAAAGATTATACTTTTTCTACGACCCATAATAATGAAAGTCCGTCAACTTCTACAATTTCAAACAATTACAAACGCGAAAATTCGTCTAATTCAAATTTTCAAGGTCCTTCGGTTCAAGGGCAAGAACCTCTTACAAATTCATTTTCTGCTTTGTCCGTAAAAAATTCAAACATACTTCTAGCTACGGCCAAAGTCACCATTTTCGACAAAAACGGGAACCCTTTAACGGCCCGATTGTTACTCGATACAGGAAGTCAGACTAGCTTTTGTACCCGGTGTCTCGCTGATAGGCTGGGTTATAAGCCATATGACATTTCTCTAAATATCTCTGGCATAGGCCAAAATAATTCTATTTCAAAAAAGATGGTCAACATAAAAATGCATTCTAACTTTAATAAAAAATCTTTCAAAATTTCATGTGCTATCTTAGAAAATATTACTTGCAATCTTCCACAGTTCCGCATTCTTACAAAAAAATTACCAATTCCAGGGGACGTTTTTCTC